AATGAGCAAGCCAGCAGCAAAGTCGGAGGGCACGGTGCCCTGAGCCCCCTTCCTAAGCCCTAAACCCCAAACCCTGCTCCCGGCGAGGCGAGGCACCGACAAACAAAGTGAAGCTCCAGGGCAGGCGGCGAAGAAAGCACGGAGCTGATCTTGGTGGCTTTAAGGTTCAGGTCGGGATGCTGTTCCCTCTACTAACAGTCCTGAAAAGGGACTAAAGCATCCCGGGGTGTGAGGGTTTAGGGTGTAGGGTCCTGAGACCTCCCCCCCCGACCAAAACCCAAAAATTCTATAAAGGAAGAGAAGGCACCTGCTGGCCAGGCCACCCAGGAAGAAGCAACTAGTGGTAGGATGCAAAGTGCCGAGGGGGGCATTTTGGCCGAGCTGTCTGGTTGTTGCTGGGGAAGGATCGGAACCCTGAACCTTAAACCGATGAGGTTTCGGAGCTGGCTTGTTTTGGGAAGGAGATCGGCCGGGCGCTGTCTGGGTGGGACGCAGCTCCCCGCCGGTGTGTTTGGCATGGCTCCACGGGCCCCTGAGAGCCAGCATCATGAGCATCAACCGGGAATCGGGCCTCTGACAGGAGCATGGATGCCTCTTGCCAAAACCCGAGAAGAGGTCTACGGTTTAGAGGTTAAGGGTGCAGGGTTTACGGTTTAGAGCTGGCAGGCCTCGACTGAAGCCTCCGCCGGGCCAGCTGCTCGCCCTGCGTGGGCTCGGCTAGGCAGCAACCCCGCCCCTAAACTCCAACAAAACTCGGCTAGGCAGCTGCCCCGCCCCTAAACTCCACCTAAAACCCGAAAAGGGTGTAGGGTTTAGCGGTTGAGGGTGTAGGGTTCACGTTTTAGGGCCGGCAGGCCGAAAAAGCAGGCCAAAGAACCCGAGAAAGGTCTATGGTTAAGAGGTTAAGGGTGTAGGGTTTACGGTTTAGGGCTGGCAGGCCTCGACTGATCGAAGCCTCCGCCTTGCCAGCTGCTGCGTGGACTTAGCGAAAAAAAGATGCCGATGTTGAGCGGATAAACCCAGAACCCTGAAACAAGATGCCCTGAATGCAAAGAAACAAGAGGCAAACCCAGAAAAGGTACAGTTAACCCGAAAGCTAAAGACAGAAATCACCGAAAAGAAAAAGTCACAAGTCCCCAAAACCAGGATTGAAGAGCCAGCGGCAAGAAGAGACCTCACTGAAAAGGCACAGACAACCAAAAAATAAAAGACACGAATAGCCGAAAGCCGAAAAGCACAAGCAACCCAAAAAGAAAAGACGAAAATAACAACCCCACCGCCCTAAACAATCCCCACATTCATCTCAAGCTCAACCTCCCAAGCCCTAGCCTTGCCTTTCCCTTTTCAGGGTTTAGGGTTTAGGGTTTAGGGTTTAGGGTTTAGGGTTTAGGGTTTAGGGTTTAGGGTTGCACAAGGGGCGTAGTAAGTTTACTCCTTAGGTTGCTTTGTATAATTGGGACCCGGACAAAACCCTAAGACCGAAAATCCCAAACACTCACAAAGCAAAAAGGGTCTACGGTTCAGGGTCACTTGCAATGGACTCCTGTGCGTTCCAAAGTCTACTTAAGCCTAGCCGCCTAGGTTTAAACTATGCACCCTATAGGCCCTAAGCCCTAAACTCTAAACCTTACAACTCCTACACCCGAAACGCTCAAACGCCCTCGATGCTATAAGCTGCCGCTGTAGGGACGCCCCGGTGGCTGCCCTGCTCCCACGGGCACCTTCAGTTCCCGCGCCCAGGCGGCCAGCTGAGGCGCACGTGGGGTTTAGGGTTCAGGGTTTAGGGTTCATGGGTCAGGGTTCAGGGTTTAGGGTTCAGGGTTTGGTCGGCGGGAGGGTGGAAGTGATGTAAGGCGTTGCGGATTCGGCTTTGTTTGTTCAGTTTTTTTTTAGTTTTGTTTGAGATTCGGGTTATTTAGGGTCTGTAGTCCAGGTTTTGACTTCAGCACGTAGGGATTTTTAGAATGGGAGGACGTGGGACGACAGTTGTGGTTTGGTTGAGTTTCAGAAGCCAGGTTTAGAATTTCGCGTTTTTACTAAACCGCATATACACCCTTAGTAACCCAATGGGGGTTAGGGTTTAGGGTTTAGGGTTTAGGGTCTAGGGTTTAGGGTTTAGGGTTTAGGGTTCAGGGCTAAGCCATGCAGCCCTACACCGTAAAGATGCTGGGGCTTTGGCTTTTCAGGGTTGGGCCTCTGTACAGAAAGGACCCGAAACCCTAAACCCTAAGCCCGAAATCCTAAACCCGAAGCCCGAAACCCTAAACCCTAAACCCTAAACCCTGAACCCTGAACCCTGAACCCTGAACCCTAAACCCTAAACCCTAAGCAGGCAGCGACCAGTGCAGCTGGCAGTTGGCAGCGCTCACGTTCCCTAGAGAACGCCGACCGACAGGCCAGTCCATGGGATCGACAGGTTTAGGGTTTAGGGTGTAGGGTCTAGGGTTGTTCCGCCTTATACTAGCTTAGCAGTCCTTAACGGATTATATTAGGGGGTACTATACTCCCTATTGAGGACCACAATAATCCCTAGACTGGTAGTATAACAAGGAACATCCCAAGTGGTTTAGGTTTTGCGGTTTCGGGGTTTTGGGTTTGATGAAGGGTCTCACTACATGTTTAATGAGGGGTCAGGTCCAGTTAGGGTTTTGGGGGCCCTACTTTTTTTGGTGGAAGGGGGCGGGGGGGGGGGGGGGGGGGGGATGGATTCCGTTTTTCAACAAACTCTTATGATAAAGGGTACCGATTCAGGGGGAGCCCGATATGGGCCAGTTCCTGAGGTTTGGGAACCTAGGACCCTAAACCCTAAACCCCAAACCCCCAACCTCAAACCCCAAACCCTAAACCCCAGGCTTTGAGATTGGAACTTATGCTGCAGGTCTTGGGTTTCACGCTTGTTTCAACCCCAAACCCGAACTCCTACACTGAAGGAATCTGGGGGTCCGGGCGAAGCAGGTGCCAGTGCCGCCATACAGCTTTCGCACGCAGGAGGCGGGGTTGCAGGCGGGGGGGGACAAATAGGGTATCCCACACCCTCAACCACTCAACCCTAAACCCCAAACCCTAAACCCTAAACCCTAAACCCCAAACCCTAAACCCTAAACCCTAAGCCCACTGCAACTCCTCGGATCTTCACACCCTCAAGCCCTAGAGCTCTAAAGCCTCAACTAACTAACCCTGAAGCCTCAAAACGCCTGAGCCTAAAACCCTCAGAAGCCCTTAAACGAGCCCTCAAAGCACCTTCAAAAAGCATAAACAGCAGCCTCAACTTCACTAAAATGTCAAGCCCTAAAACCCTAAACCCTGTGTTTGTAAGTCTAATCCCTAAACCCTAAAACCCTAAACCCTAAACCCTAAACCTTAAACCCTAAACCCTAAACCCTGTGTCTGTTGGGAAGGTGGCAGCGGCGCCGAGGTCAGGTCCCAAGCATCTATCTGGCTTCGGGGTTTTGTTGTTTTGGGCTTTTGCTTCCTTAGGTTTCAGGGTTTGAGGCTGGTTTAGGGTTTAGGGTTTAGGGTAGTTTAGGGTTTAGGGTTTAGGGTTTAGGGTTTAGGGTTTAGGGTTTAGGGTTTAGGGTTTAGGGTTTAGAGGGTGTAGGGTTTAGCGTTGAGGGCTTTGGGGTTGGGGTGTTCCCCCTTATACGAACTGCCGTTAATCGGGATGATAGTACCCCCTACTAAACCCTAAACCCTAAACCCTATTAAGGGCTCTTAGTATAAGGAGGTAACATCCCAAGGTGTAGGGTTTAGTTTTGGGGGTTGAATCCTAGTCCCGAGCCCGGCAACCTGCGGTTTAGGGTTTAGGGTTTAGGGTTTAGGGTTTCGGGATATTTAGGTTTTAGGATTTCGGTTTCGAGTTTTTAGGGTTTAGGGTTTAGGGGTTGGGGTCCTGCAAAGACTGCGCTTTCTTTCCACACCGTCCTTCAGTCGTGCAGCCCTAAGCGCCATCAAGCTGTAAGGCTCTAAATCTGACAGAAGAGTCGCCGAGAAGGGGATTTGTAGTGCCTGACTCCTAATGGGTCGTTGTCAAAATTGTGGTCCCTTTTTGGATCCCTATCATAATACGGCACCTAATATTTGGGGTACCCCAAAAGGGACGATCATGTTGACAACCACCCGTATAGTACATAAACTTAAATACACTCTAACACTAAACCCTACACCCTAAACCCTCAACCCTAAACCCTAACCCTAAACCCGAAACCCGAAACCCTAAACCCTAAACCTTAAACCCTAAACCCTTTCCAAGAGAAGCCCAGGCCTTGTCTCAAGGTCCCCACCATCAACGTGCCACCACCGCCCATGGGAGCGCGCGCTCTCAGCTCGGCTCGCGGCTCAGCATAGGGAGGTTTAGGGTTTAGGGTTTAGGGTTTAGGGTTTAGGGTTTAGGGTTTAGGGTTTAGGGTTTAGGGTTTAGGGTTTAGGGTTTGGAGGCTGCTAAGGGTGTTAGAGTTACAGTTAAGGGGGTTCGGGCACAGTCTGCGTTTCTAGGGCTTAGGGCGTCAGCCAGCAGATCGAAGTATCCCCACAGGCAGATCGGTGAGGAAGTCGCACAACAGGATGAGCACCCGAGGTTGTCAGGGTTTAGGGTGTAGGGTGTAGGGTGTAGGGTGCAGGCTTTAGGTTATTCGCGATGACGCATTTGCTTCAGAACTCCCCCCCCCCCAAAAGTCTGAGATAATATTCCCTATACTACCCTTATAAGGAAGAACATTTCAGTATTGTGGGGGGGGGTGGGAGTTCTTAAGCAATTACTATACTACCCTTGTAAGGAAGAACAGTTTCTTTTTTTTTTTTTTTGGGGGTGGGGGGGGGGGGGGGGAGTTTTAAGCAAGTACTATACATCCTTGGAAGAACATTCATCTTTTTTTTGGGGGGGGGGGGGGGGCAGGGTTCTTGAGCAACTAGTGGATGCAGGTTTTTTTCATACTGCCATGACATTCAGCGCCCAAACAGCCTGGCCAACCCACCCGCTGCTGCCTCGAATCCTCCTGAAAGCCATGGCTGCTGCGCTGCCGCTCTATCAGGACGCTCGCAGGGTTTATGGTTTAGGGGTTAGGGTTTAGGGTTTGGGGTTTCCCTGTTTTTCGGAGAAACCTACGAAAACCCTGTTCAACAAGCAGACAAACAACAGCTAGTCCTTCTCATTCCTAGGATGTTCTGGGACTTAGGACAAGTTTGTGGAGATCTTTGACGACCACCTGCGCATCAAGTCCTACTACTTCCCCTTCGGAAAGGCGAAAGTCATCAACATCCCTTCCGTGTCTCTAGATACGCCCTTGGGATTCTGTTCTATTGTCTCTTATTGGGTTTAAGAGGCTCATCTTCAGAAATATTTGTTTAGGGTTTAGGATTTCGGGTTTAGGGTTTAGGGTTTGGGGTTTAGGGTTTAGGGTTTAGGGTTTGGGGGGGTGCATCCTAGGTCTGGAGCTGTCAGCTTCAGCACCGATCGGGATCTCGACTTCAGCTTGTGGGATTGGAAAGTCTGGGGCATGGCGCTGAACAACGCTCCCCCGGCAGCCATGGCAAGCATTTTTTTTCGGGGGCTTAGGGTTTAGGGTTTAAATTTGGGGTTTGAATGAGGTTTAGGGTTAGGGGGTCAGGGATTGTCTTGGTATCCTGCGTCCGAAGCTACAGAAATCCCGAAGCTCCAGTCCTTTTATTAGCCAGAACAAGCACCAACCTTGCTTGGCTACATTTTCCCTACAATCCCCAATCCTGAACCCTACGCCGACAACCCTAGGCCCTAAAGCCTTACTAAGGTTTGGTGGGCCCCCGACTGGCAACGGTGTTCCCTGAGTGGAAACAGGAACCTGGGTATCGTGATTACCGTCGAGCACGAGCGATTCCGCAAAGGCTTCAGTGTCGAAGATGCCACAGCGGCACTGAAAGTCCTTGAAGAGCTGCTGCCCAGGACGGAGCACCAGCGACCGGCATAGGCAGTTGATGTAGCTTTTGAATCCAACAGTGGCATGTAGAGGAAAGGCCAACGCGCGCAAGGCGCAGGAACGTGTTGATATGCTGAGCTTTAGAACATGGGGCTCGTCCCGTGCAGCATTCGCCTGGAGCAGAAGCACCTTGCCCTTAGAGTGGGGAAGCATGTGTACAGAGTCCCGGTGGTATGGCTGGGTGAGATAGCTTGTATGTACAGATGCACCACTCAGGGTCTCGTGCCTGCAGGCAACAGTCAAGCCTGTTGAGAATCTTGAAATCCTCAACCCTAAACCTCGCCAAATCCCCACTCCCAGAATGTTCATTCTCTTACATGGATCATAAACCCTTGTCTACTAATCGCTTAAGAAAGACAAACAACTTCCTTATAAGGGTACTATTCTTGGGATGCAAATAGAGTTGCAGTTTTGTTTCCAAGGAAAGGAGGGTTCAGGGTCTTAAAATTCAGGGGTGATTTTTCTTTCTGCCCATAGCCAGGGCGATGTGGTCAGAGACGGCTCCTAGTTGCGAGAGTTTAGGGTTTAGGGTTTTGGGTTGGAGTTCGGGTTCTGGGTGGTTTTCTGTAGGACTCTTGACTCTTGGACAGTAGAAGCCCTTATTCCACAAAACCCGAGACTTCCCCTTGATTTCCGAAAGCCCTAAAGCACCTACATTCAATAGGCTCACTCGGATGTACGGTTCGGTTTTCATCGTTAAGGTCTAGGGGAGGGACCCCAAACCCTAAACCCTAAACCCTAAACCCGGCTTGCTTGTCTTGCATCTTTGAGGTGCAGATGGCGCCAGCCCATCCAACACCCCCTCCGACTACGATGGCAAGGCTGGTTGAACTAAAGGGCCCTAGCCCCCTCAACCCTACGCCTGCCAAACTATAGTGCCTCAACCCGTGTATGCCCTAAGCCCTTATACCCTAAATCCTAACCTCATACAGGTCTCTCTCTCTCTCTCATATGTACATATATATATGAACATATATATATATACATACATAAACGAGAATACATATATATATATATATGTCACATATGTATATATATATATATGTGTGTGTGTGTGCGCGTGTGTACATACACATGTATGAAACAAAGACTCAGCACGAGACGCACACACACACACACATACATACATACATGCATGCATGCATGCATGCATGCATGCATACATACATACATACATACATACATACATATATGTGTACATGTATATAGTATGTGTTCGTAGAGATAGGTAGATAGATAGATTGGTTGATAAATAGATAGACGTGTATGTGCATTTGGGTATGTTGAGTTTTATGCTATTCTTGTTATTACTATTCGCGCGACTTCATGGGGGTTCTCACTCTCCCTCTGGTTGAAGCCCATGGCAGCCTCCTGCTTGGGGATTGTATGGTGTTCGAGGCATCAGGGCGGACGCGTAGGGCTCATGGCTTTTGGGTGTCTTGTGCTCGGCAACCCTTGACCCGACCTACCCCCTGCTTCCTGCCTTCTACACCTTTTCCGAAACCCGAAGCCCTAAGCCCTATACCCTAGATCCTAAACCCCAAACCCTAACCTAAGTTTCTTTTGAGCCTGGGCAGATCACCCACCTGCCAAAGTCCCCTGTCGCGATCGAAAGCTCTTTGTGGCCAAAAGAGGCAGGGTCAGGGCTGTGGGGGTGTAGGGCCCTCAACCCTACATCCAAATCCAGAACCCCAAACACTACGCCCCTAAGATTGCAGTGGTTGCACCTTCTTCGCCGCGGTCCCTACGCCGACAGCAAAGGCACAAGCAGAAAGCGGGCCAAAAGCCACGAAGCCGGAAGGATGAACGTCTGCAGATCAAGGGTGTAGGGTTTGGGGTTTAGGGTTTAGGGTTTAGGGTTGTAGGCGAGCAGGACGATGAGGAGGACGAGTGAGCGACGCAGTGCACCAGGGGCAGAGCACTACGCCCCTAAACTCAACCCTGTTCAGCGCTGGGCTTTGTTGGCTGCATACCAATACCTTTTGGAAGAAAATAGCCCCAAACCCTGCAGCCCGGAAACCTCAAGCGGCTCGCATTCAGAGATTTCCAGGCTGCTTTGGTTTTGAAGTGGAGGTTGCGGAAGCCTTCGGGGGACTTCATATCAGGTGACTCCTCCGCCCCATGTTAGGAATGTTGCCTGTGCCTTCATCTGTGGGAGGAGAGGGGAGGGGGACTTTCACTGGCAGGAAGGGAAAGACAGCGGGCAGATGCACTTCTGGGGCCACATTTCATCATCCGGGCTTTCACGATACCCGTACCCTCAAGCCGAGGCTACGGGACCGAGACTTGCTCGGACCCAACCCGAGGTTCAGGAGTAGGGAACTAGGGTTTAGGGTTTAGGGTTTAGGGTTTAGGGTTCAGGGTTTAGGTTTAGGGTCTTAAGGTACTGTGAATCCGCTTTACAAAAATCCGCCAGTAAGAAACCCGCCCCAACTTAACCTATGTCTTGATGGGCTTGCGGCAAAATCCCAGCAGCACACCCCTTTATGTTCGGAAGCCCCGTTCTTCCCAAAGAAAAAAGCTGCCTTAATTGTGAATGAGTGTTGCCACAGTCTTGCGTATGTCTGCCCGTATTGAAAGCTACGTGTTTGCTCCAGGTGGAACCTGTACTTCCTAAACCCCCTGAATTTTGAACCCTGAATCCCCTAAACTGCAAGCCCTCAACCCTAAATCCTAGGTGAACACCCTAAACCCAAACCCCCTTAAACCCCAAGCGCCCTAAATCCTAAACCCTTGTCCCCGAAACCCTAAACCCCCTAAACCCCCTAAATCCCCCTAAGCCCCCTAGACCCCCTAAACCCCCTAAACCTCCTAAACCCCCTAAGCCTTAATCCCGAAACGCGAACCGTCCCACCCTTCCAGGAAACCCAAACCCCCTGAACCGTAAAAGCGCCAAAACCCCTAGCCCCCTAAATCCTATACACATCCCCTTAGCCAAAAGCCCTAAATCTTCTGCACCCCTCCAAAAGCAAACTAAGCTCCAAACCCCAAACCCCAAACCCCAAACCCCAAACCCCAAACCCCAAACCCCAAACCCCAAACCCCAAACCCCAAACCCCAAACCCCAAACCCTAAACCCTAAACCCTAAACCGCAAAAAGGTGTCCTGGGGGAAGCCCGACGCCCAGTCCAAAGTCGACGCCCGCACCAGGCCTTGGAGCTTGGGGTTCTTTAGCCCAGGAATAGGGTAGGGTTTAGGGGTTGGGGTTTAGGGTTTAGGGTTTAGGGTTTCGGGTACAGGGTACAGGGTACAGGGTACGGGGTTCAGGGTTTAGGTCTTTTTCCAGGAATATAGTAGGTCTGTAGTAGGAAGGATGCTTGCCATAATTCATACTCATTCTATATATACTGTTTTCTGGAGGTTTCCTTTTTGGGTTCCCCACCGTTCTTTCATAACTTTTCGATATCGGACTACGTAACTGTAAAGTCAGGTGCTCCAAAAGGGACTGCTCTTGGGGTTCTGCGGTAGTTGAGGGCTATGTTTTCGAGGCTTTCTGATCTGCGCGCTTAACAAAAAACACTGCTCACCCGGCAATTATCAAGCTGGCAGAGTACAAGGGCGAGAAAGCGACAGAAAAGGCGAATACAGCTAATCAAGGCCTGTTTCCCCTAGCCACGACTTCCAAATTGATGCAGCTTCTTAGTTGTCAAGTAAATAAGTCTCCTTGTTGGTGTAGCACACCTCAGCCCCAAAAGCCTACACCCTAAGCTGTAAACGGGCTTCCGCCCTTCAAACCCCAAACCCAAAACCCCAAACCCCAAACCCCAAATCCCAAACCCCAAACCCCAAGCCCCAAACCCCAAACCCCAAACCGCAAACCCCAAACCCCAACCCGAAACCCCAAGCCCTAAACCCTAAAACCCAAACCCTAAACCCTAAACCTCCCGAAGCAGGAGCACCCTTCCGTGCTACCTTGCCCTTCTCTTCGATGACCCCGCGGGTGCTCTGCTTTCAAAGAGCTGTCTTTGGGGGGTAGGTTTTAGGGTTGAAGATTTAGGGTATAGGGTATAGGGTTTCGGGTTTGGGGTTTAGGGGTATTGGCTTTAGGGGAGAATATAGGGTTTAGGGTTTATGGGGTTTCCTTAAACCCCAAAAGCTCTGTATATAAGCCCCTAGATCCTGAACCCTAAGCCTTGAACGACTCTGGGGTTCTAGGGTTTTGCTTTTGTTGGGGTTCAGGGCTTTAGGGGCTAGGGTTCGGGTTTAGGGTGTAGGGTTTAGGGCTGTTGGTTAGTCACGGGAACGAAGGTCAAGTAAGAGTAGCTAGAAAATACACCGATTCCTTCATCCCCCCCACGAACCACCACTAGTAAGTTTAGGGGCTTTGGTGCTTGTGGCCCCGGGATTGCTTGAGTCAGCAAAAGTAGAAGTGTAGGTAGGTGTGTTGTTTGTGCGGTCGCTTTTATTCTTTGAAGTTGGGATCATCTACTATTCGCTTAAGAACCCCCCCCCAAAGAAAAACAACAACAACAAACAAACTTCCTTACCAGCCCAAAATAGGGATGATTATCTTTGTTTTTTGGGAGGTTCTGAAGCAAATACCCTAAACCCGAAACCCTCAACCCTAAACCCTGGTTCTTGAGCAAATAGTAGTTCTAGATTTATAGGGTTTTTGGTGGTGGGTTGGGGCTTCAGGGGATGCTGGTCATGCGCAGGGATGGGCTTAGGGTTTAATGGTTTAAGTGTTTAGGAGTTTAGGGTTCAGGGTTTAGGGCTCCGGGTTTAGGGTTTAGGAGGGCCTCATCCCTACAAGTCGCATAACCCTAAGCCCTGCCACTCCGTGACCCCGAACTTCCAGACCCCCCTATGTCCCAAACTCCAAACCCTTTAAGCCCAAACCCCTCAACCCTAAACCTTGAACCCTAAACCCTTCAACCCTAAACCCTTCAAACCCTAAAGTCCAGTGTTTCTGGCCCATATACCTTCATAGGAATTATAGTAGTAACTAGTAGAGGGTACATCACCCCCCCCCCCCCATCTCTTAGTAGCTG